TACAAAACAGCTTGAAGCAAAGTGAAACCGCACTATCCTTTAAAGACCAGTACACTGTCGATCCAATCAACTTCGTTTGAGCGGACAAAAACCAAAATCTCATCACAGTTTTAACCATTATTATAAAGAATCAAATAAAGCAAAGCTCTCGCATGTCATAAGCGTTAAATTCAATTTGAGTTTTACAACGCAGCGCGCGGTTCGGTTGGGGCTTTTGTTCGGGTTTGTTTGACAGTTTTTGCAGCGCACTCAATCAGCACTTGTTAGAACTTTTTAGTGTGCTGTAAAATAAACATGAGTATAGAGCTGAAATGAAATGAAATTTAATAAATGCAGTGCGCCAGTGGGTGGGGGAGTGTACATACATATATGTTGATGTGGGCGGTTGGGCTGAAACAGGAGGAGAGCAAAGCGACAGGCAGCATGACATGCACTTCATAAAACTTTGCTCATATAAATTGAAATTGAAATGAAATGATGATGCCGGAGCTGCCACGTTGATATATGTGGATGTGAAAGTGGATGTGGATGGGAATGTGAATGTGAATGCGAGTGTGAGCAAGTGAGAGTTGACAACCGGCGGAAGCTTCCTTCTCCTTCTCCGCCTCCCCCTTCTCACCCCACCATCGCACAATATCTGGCTGTAAAAATTTGTTGGCCAAACAACAAGTGGAGCAGCCAAAGCAGCAAAAGCAGCAGCAACAGCCTGAAAAACAACTTAAACTGTCATTGCAAAGTTTGAGGCAAAGCCCCATGAGCCGGGGGATGGGGTATTAAAACTTTTCTCTGAGCAATTATGTGAAGGCTACTTAACTTTTTTTGCAGGCAATAAATTTGCTCTTTAAACTAAGACTCGACTTAAGCAGCTGACAAGGGGAACGAGGATGCATGCACCTGAGTCTGCTGCGACACAATTTTGTTGCACACTCGATTTCTTTTACTCCTTTTTAGGTTTTTCCTTGGAGGAGGGGACTGAGACTGAGTCCGGAGCCTTCCAACCAATCGTAGAATTTGCTAGAGCTATGTGCAGAAATTCAATTAGCCAGCCAAGCGTGGATGGTGGGGAAATGAAAGCAGTTTGCCACTTGGCATGCCAGGCAGTTTTGGGGAATGCTTTGAAATACACGCATGCACACTGCGATTCAGATACTCTCCCCATGCCTAGATACATTTGCTCGGTTGTGTGGTTGTGACAGGCCATCGGTGCTTCTACTACTGTGTGCTGCATGCTGCATGCTGCATGCTGCGTGCTGCTTGCTGCATGCTGCATTCTTGCCTCAATTACGCCGAAAATGTCACATTAATTATTGGCATTTATGGGGTTTGCGCCGCTTTTGATATGATAGACGACAATGCTGGCCAAAATTTGAAGTCTACTTTACGGCGCGCTATTGTTGTGTCCTCGAAAGTGCGCGTGTCTGTGTGTGTCAGCCGCACAGAGATTTATGTGTGTGTGCGCCATGTGCTTGTGTGATACGTATTAATTGGAATTTGTTTTTGTGTGTCAGCTGCAAGACGACTCGGAGGTCTCTTTGTTGGCTTTTGCGGCAATTAAAAGTTAATTTGACAAAGCGAGACATTTCGAATTAATTTCGAGTCTAAACGACGTTTTAATTCAATTTATGTTTTTGGCAGCACAACTTGACAATGCCATCAATTGAGTGGGTCGATTGACTCAAGGTCTCCGATGTGAAGGAGCCATTCAAAATGTGGGTAAGCAGAGTGCGTATTTATTCTTTAAATTAATTGACTGCTAAGGCAGCCTTGCCATTGCATTTGTGCCTCCATTCCCAATTACTTAATGACAGCTTCCAGTCGCAGTGATTAGGCCGAAAGCGCTTTAAGCCAAGTGGAGTGCTGCTGGCCCCGTTAGCTGGGCCCATTCAAAGTCAACTTATGCCAACCGTCTGTCAGCAACAGGAGCTGGAGTTCTCCACACTCATGCGGCTACTTATGCAAAATCCTTGACTCCGCCACTAGACGACACCCGACCCGTTTGCTGCTCATCTACACACGCACATGGGAGCTCTGATTACCGGCGGTCGGGGAGCGGTACAAAGGACAATGGAGCAGCGGGACAGAGGGACACCCGGTGCAGCGGAGCGGGACGGAACGGGACGGGGCGGCGGAGACACACAATTGTGTTGATTGCACAGATGACAAGACCTAGGACGAGATGACAACTTTGCTGCCTGCCAGCCTTGATGACAATGAAGTGCATGCATGAATATTCTAATCAAATGAGCCGCCAGCCTGTCCTGGCCCCAGTTCCCAGCTCCTTGCTCCTCGCTCCTCGCTTCCGCCTCTGTTCCTGCCATTGTCGAGCTGTAAAATTTTTCGCCTACGCCATCTGGCTACACAGGAAGAAACAAGAGCAAGGACAATGGTTTGTCCTATGGCATTCGACCAATTATGTAGGCTGTTATATTAATATGCTTTCATTATGGCAAGAATATAGGTTGCACATAAAAGTAAGTACTATTAAAAATTCCATTACTAAAATCATTGTTGCCAATTTCTAAGAAAAGAAGATATGTCCTTTGCGAAAGAGTCGAAAAGTGAAATTCGATATACTTAGATATGACGCGCCAAGTAGCTTATTGTTATTCGTAGGCATATAAAATGTTATTTCTGGGCAAACTTTTCGCTGAGTGCTGCACCACATGCTTTGTGTTTTGTGCAGGGCAAAAGTTTCAAAGTCAGCCCAAGTCCCCGGCCAGAAAAACCTTTCCTTTACCTCGTTTCATTTCATTCACTCACTGAAATCGAATTTGCATAATTTAACATGATGGTTGCGCTTATTCCTGTAGCCTGTCAGCCGCACAGACATCGCAGGAGCCGTAGGACTACGATGAGGAGTAGGGTTTATTATTGTTCGCCCTCCGATTCGACGTCACCGCATTTCGCTGCCACATGCATCATCATTTGCATACATTTGCAGTTCGCCCAGTCAGTCAATGTTCATTCCTCATTACCCCGCAACCACCACATATTTCCCACCCCGTCAGTCGATTTTCTTTGAATATAATTCGCCAGCGGAAAAGTGAAGGAAGTGGATGGAGCAGGAGTACATTGACGTTGATGGATTTTGGCACTTACACAGGCTAGCGCCTGTCACTTTCCTAACACCAAATGCGACTCCAAAAAAAAAAAAAAGGAAAAAAAGGAGCGGCTGACTCGGCTCCAGTTGAGCTGACTTTGAAGCGCATTTTAATGAAGAATGATATGTTGGCATCGCCGCAGCCGCAGAAGCCGCAATTTTCCAACCCCCAAGACCCCACGGCCCCCCAATTTACCACATCGACTGACAGTTTTCGCGGCTTTGCACGCAGCCACTGTCGAAGTTGAAGGGCGACGACATCAACAACAAGTTTTCCGGTTCAGCCGGAAGTGAAAAATATCAAAAAAGAGCTCGCGCACATAAATCGAAGAAAAATGAAAATTTGTATCAAATTATGTCGCTGCTTTGTCTTCGCTCCGAATGCCATTTTGTATGCGGCATGGCAAATAAATGTATGCGTGAAATATTTTACCTATTTCAAATTTGTGCAAATTTCAAGCATCAATTTGATTCGAAATTGATGGCTGTCGTGTTGTGGAGGCATTGGAAATCTCAGTAGCCCCAACCACTAAAAGAAATAAGCTAGAGAAAAATGCAAAAACAGACGAGTACACTAAAATAAACAGAAGCAAAAATAAATACCCCTCAGCATTGGTTTTCTATGCAAAGTGTCACATGGCCAATGTGCCACGCCCCCTTCCGACCGCTATCGCCGCCGCCTCTGCCTTTTCATGCATATCAAAATGGCAACAATAAACGCCAACAAAAGAACAACAATAACAAACATTAACATGGAAATACACACGCACACGAGGACGACAAAAGGGCGGCAGTCAAAAATGTTGCAAATGTAAGCAAAATAAAAATATATAACAAAGACACAATTACACTCACGGACCGAGTGTTTGCCAATGTATTTGTGTATTTGTCTGCCCGTGTGTGTGTGTGTGTGTATTTGTAAAACCAAAACTTTTGACATAATAAAATGGAATGTTATTGTTAAAAAAGTTACTTGCATATTAAAACAAACGAAACTTCCCACTGCCTCTATCTCTCTCATTTTTTTATTCCATCATTTGTTTGCCTTCTGCATGTGTGTGTGCGTGTGTATGTGTGTGTGCGCGTATTTTTACTTGCAAATGCCGCATACAAATGCAAATGGCCGGCGTGTGAAACGAGCAGCACTGCCAGAAGCAAACAACTTTAATTGAACTGTTTACCCGATTTTTATTTTATGCCACCTCAAGGCCCCCAATCGCTCCCAAAGTTGTGTAATTGTTATGGTTATGTTTGTGATGATTATTTGGCTCGTTGCACAGCTGCTCACATTTTCAAGAGGACATTATCATTATCGTAATACTGGATGCCCATTCTTTGGGCAATTCGAAGGTAAGAATATGGACTGCAGTTTTATACCATTTATAAAGGTATCTAAAAGTATGGAGCAATATATTTTATTGCCACAACTGGAATAATCAACAAAATCTTAACATTAAGCACCAAAAATTATAGAATGCTACAGATACCATGACGGCTACTTAATCATTAATAAAAATGCCTAAAGTATGCATTTAAAGTGGCTCGTCGGATATCAGCAACAAAGTATTGGACAGCTTTATTGGTGACTACGGAGAGAAATCACTACTCTTATCATGTTAAAATTGTATCATTTCCCATCACAAAACTTGCTATACGACACCAAAACGGCCGTGCTTTAATCTAAAATACTTCAAGCACGTCTAAACACAACCAAGCTAATGCCAAAAAGTAACGATCAACTGTATCTTAAGATTAATCATGTAACTGGGAAATACAACAGATAGCGAGCCGAACACGTTACGTATACTTGATATGAACAGAATCTTAGGTGGGGAAGATCGAATTGGACATAGCTGCAGATAGGTAATATATATAGGTAGAAACTTTGGATGGTACTCACCTTTGCTAGCACCGTCCGGCCCACGAAGTATGGTGCACTCCTCTATAGTGCCGAAGGGATGGAAGATTTGTCTAACATCGTCTTCGGTCTGTTGTTTGCTGAGCATGCCAACGAACAGCTTGCGATCTAAATGCTCTGTTTTGGTTTCGGGTTTGTTCATGTTTCATATGTCATGTCATGTGGTTCGATTGATCCGATAGATCCGATTGATTTTGATTGATTACGATTGATTTACGAATTTGATTGTTGCACCAAAAGAGACGGCAAAATGGACAAGTGGCAATGTTTTTGTATTTGGTTTTGTGGGCGGCAGTGTTCGATCGTGTTTGGTATTTGGTGTTCGGTGTGTGAAAATGATAAATTTTCAATCAAGAAGCCATAGCCAGAGAAAATTCGCAACAAATCATATTGAAATCCGAAAAATGAATACGGAAAAAATATATATCCTCGATCATAATGTGTTGGTGAGTCGTTTAAAAAGAGATGTAAATGCAACAGGGTTACACATTACGCAACATTTTTTTTGTAACGAGTAACGAACGCAGCAGGCACATTTACGTAATTGTTTTTTGTTTGGTAATTTTTTCAAAATTTCAACAGGCGCAAAATACCCAAAGAAAAGTAAAAGCAACAACATTTATTTAAGGAGAAATCGTTGGTGTTTGGGTGGATAGTTTGAGCACCAATAGAGCAAATACAATTACAACATTTATTAATGTGGTTAGGTATTTTTTTTGTTTTTTGTTGGGTGGGAAGAGGGAGTACAAATTTCGATTTATAAGCGGAACGAATTTTTTGTTGAAATTGTTGCATTAAGAAGGAAGAAATTTGGATGTGGAAAAAAAAACCGAATCAAATCAAAATCATAGGAATAAAACCACAAAAAGTGAAATTAGTTTTTGAAAATCATAAGAGAAGAATTGTCAGTTTTCCAATTTTGCCAATTTTGATGTATTTATTTTTTTTTTTTCGTTTCAATCATATTTATTTGATATAGAGCACGAACAAGTGTTACATAAAAAGGAAAGAAAAGAAGATAAAAATGGGTGATATTTAGTTAAAATTGTCGTACATTTTGTTTTTGGTTTAGCTTACAACTCTTACGAGAATTAAAATTATCTATTCATATACGTAATATATAAGTATGTATATTTATATGTATATATATTTAACAGACACACGCACACACAAGCAAACCGTCTCGCACACACTTACAAGCTGGCCACGCACAGAGCTACTGAGTTAAGGATAGACATTGAAAGGTAATTGAACACGCTAGCCACTACTTGAAAAAATAGTTGGTAAAATTACGGGCGAGCATGAGGAAATGTATGGCTTAAGAGTACTTAGAGTCTAGGTATATAAGGCTAGTAGTGGTGGTGGTGAGCGTTGGATGGTGGTGATCAGCGAGAGATTCTCTAAAATCTAATCAATATCTACTGGTAAATGGATAAGGTCGCACAAACGGCAGCTGTCGCACGACTGTCCGCCCTCTCGAATTCGTATTTTCACATTTTTCGCTTTCAAAAAGCGTATAATCTAGAGCCCAGCCAAGGACACCAAGGACTCGCACTCGCACTCGCACTCGCACTCGCACTGGGTATCATATCGAAAATTGAGCGTCACATAATTGGCAAAACACTTGCCACAGACAGCCGAGCCGGACCGCCCCAGCTGCTGTCGCGTTAAAGTGGCAAAAGCAATCGAAGTAGAAAATAACTAATACGACACGTTGGAGCCATGCACATGGCCTGCAGGCAATTGTCTTGTGTCCGGGTTAAGCCTAATGGCATTTGGGTTCCGTTTCGTCCTGCGCTGTCCTTCCTGCTCCTGCCGGCCCCTGCCTGCTCCTTACCATCCTTACCAGCCGGCCCAAGCACGTGCAATAAGCCAAACAACGCCCCTGGCATGCTAAACAACAACAACAACATCAACAGCAGTGAGAAGGGCAAAGGATGTTGGAAGCAGTAGAAGGGTTGGCTTAATAAAAATGTAAAGCACGTTGAAACGGAGGGCAGGACAAGGTAAAAATAGTGCAGCATATTTTGCGGCGCCTGCTGTTGTACATATGAAATGGCATAGTTCAACTGGCTGTTAACAGTTGCGGCCAAAAAAGGGCAAAAAAAAAAAAAGAAAAAAAAATAGAAAATGGGAGGCGGTGGGGCTAAGTAGAAGTGGTGGGTGGCAGGCAGGCAGGACAAAAGGATTTGCACAATGTTTAGCCTGGCGTTGCAGCAATTTTCTACAATTACCTGGGGCACAACGACACAGACCGGCAGGGATAAAATGCACACAGGGCTTTCAGTGATTCCCTTTTGGTTGTTCTCCTCCTATGCTCTTGCTCTTGCTTTTGCTTTTACTTTCCTTTTTTATTTCTTTTTTTCGGTCTCTGAGCTAAAGGAAAGAGCAGTGAAAATAATATTAAAGGCCATTAGGCTCATATAGACAAGTTAAGTGGCTCCTGGTCCGGGTCCTCGGTCCTGTGTGCTCGTTTCTCCTGATTCCCTGATTCCTTTGCTGGCCATGTGTGGCAGTTTTTAGATTTTATTTTTATGCCTGCACCGGCGAAAAGAAGTCATTAACGTGTCGTTGTCTTTGATGCCGCAACCAAAGTGAAAGGGGGTGTGCGGCGGTGACGGCGGCAGCGGCAAAAAGAAAGCCAAATTAAATTAGCTAACCACATGGCAACTTTTGTACATGTGCTCCGCCGGGAGAAGACGACAAGGACAGGCCACTAATTGTTGCACGTTATGTTTTTGCTTATCTTCCCAACCCAGATCCTGCATCCTTAATCCACCAACCACTTTCCAGTGGAAAACCCAGCTGCATCTTTCCGGGTTTTTGCCCGTCCTCCAGGGTAAAGTAATTGTATTTTAAGTCCTGGCCAAAGGTGAAAAAGCCAGTCGCGTCTATGAATAATACAAAAAATTGTGGAGACAGCGGCGCCAGAGGATAAATAAAGAAAAAAACTAAACACAAAGTCGCTGACAAAGCGAAAGTCAAAGCTCAAAGCTCATGTGTCCCTGAACTCCCTTCCAAACGTCTGTCCTTTCTGCCATTTTTTACTGTACCGCCTGGCTTCCTTTGAATGGCTGGCTGGCTGGCTGGGCACTGTTGCCAATTGACATGTAAATTGACGTTTAATGGCTGCTAATGAGCGTCTGAGGATTAGTTCTACTTCTCCCAGGTGAAGATGAGTGGACAGGTGGGGCCATTTGAATACCTGAAGACATCTGCCTGAGGAGGGGCAAGTGCATGGGGTTCTGTTGAATCAGGTGTGCGAATTGAGATGAATTTCTCTGCCAAATGGCTGACTTTGATGGGGGATTACTTTCAGCTCAATCTTGTGAACCCTTTGCTATCCCACTGCAGCTAATAAATCATTAAACAAACAAATAAATACTCCATTAATTTTCACAGCTTAGTCAACATTCTTAGAAGCAACTTGGCTCTGCAAATGAGGATGCTGCCGTAATGCGACCAATTCATATCTCAAAATGCTCTAATCTGATTACTCAAGATAGCTCAAAATGGTAAGTAAATATATTTAAGTTATTAATTATTTTGTGGGGATTTTCAAGCTTCTCGTTATAATTACAAAACTTTGTGAAAGGCGAGTGCCTCCTTGGAATAATATTTGCTTGCCAAAAACTGATTGAAAACGAAATCAACCCCCATTCACTCCCTTTATTCGGGATTTATGTGTTTGTATCTCTTCTGACCACGTTTAGTTTGCAATAAATTATTGAAATTGTAATTACTTAGGCAGGAAATGGGTAAATGAGCACCAAGTCGTATACTTAATGCTGCCAACTGGCTCTTCACGTTGATAGGCTCGATTTTGCCAGCAGCTTGTAATGAAAATTTAATTAGAAATATACTATATGTTTACGTTGATTAAAGCAGGCAGCACTTAGTGCCTAAGCCCAGAATAGTTTTTCATTTGCATTTTTCCACATTTTATTAGAGCCCTCCACTCGCTTTGATTGATGATGTGCCCTTTTTTCGGAGTGTGAGTGTAAGAGAGTGACTGACTGGTAAAAGCAAACTAATTAATATGTAATTAGTGACATTCATTTGACATGTAACGGGGCTAATGTAAAAATGTCCCGACTATCCTTCAGATTACAGTACGGCCATGGGTATCGGCGGGGTGGGAAATGCGACCCCCTCAAATGCTTGATTAAAATGTAAATGACTTCGCGCACAATCAATTCGAGCGCCATATGTTGCAGCCCAATCACTGGGATCAGATGTGGCAAATGTAATGTTTTGTGGCTGCCCCATCAATATCGCCGGCAATCGTTCTGGCCAAGTGTGCCTTCAGGCCGCTCCACAGGATGCCGTCGACATGCCAGTTTTATGGCACTCAGACAGGAAGTGCCAGACTCTGAAAGTCATCCCTGCTGCAGAGGTGTCAGTATTTATACAGCAAATAAGCTAAATGCTCCCTTTATGAGTCCCTCAGCTGCGGCTTCGTCGCCGGCAAACAGTTGGTGTCGTCGCCCCGACAATTGTGTGGCAATTGTCAAAAGTCTCCCCTCGTTTCTTGACGTTTAAATATGACTAGAGATAACTCAGCTGCCAAAAGGCTCTATGGTCTATGCTCTCTGCTCTTTGCGCCTTTGTTGCCATTGTGTCGTGAATCCTTTGGGCCTCCTTCCGGCGACTTTCAGCTTTTCGAGTTTATTTGTCAGCTGAAAATTCTTTCGTAATAAGCGTAAAACTCGACTATAGGCTGGGGACAAACTGGCGAAATTATACAAAATCCAAGCGAAAGCGGGCTCTAGACCTTAGCCAAAGTTAGAAGTAAATTAGTTATTAGCCTTGTAAGTAGTTCAAAAGTTAAGTCAGCTGACAGCTCAACTTGGGGTTGCTTCAGTTTCTTGGAATTCGAAATGGCTAAGAGCCGCCAAAATGCGCCTAATTGTTAATTAGTGTCAGCGTGAATTTGTGTGCGGCTGCAGTGCCAGACATTTTCATAGTCACATTTTTAGGCACAAAAGTTTTTGTTTGGCCAGGACCAAAAGTCAAAGGCAGACGGAGCGGAAGTAGGAAGGAGCCGGAAACTTTATCCTCGTGGCTGCGGTATTGAAGTGTTAATTAATATTGAAAGGGATAAACTTTTGTCTGAC